GGGGTTCTTTCTCCTCAAAGTACACTGAGAGGGCCTCAATCGCTGTCGACAGCATAGCAAGCGGTTGAAGCTGGTGACGAACAACAGTGTCCATGGATTCCAAATGCCTGTCTTCTACTAGAATCTTGGAGGGCGCTGGTTTCTTGAAAAGTAGCCCCCAATCCAAGTCCCTACTCATGGGTGACGAAAACGGCATGCCATAAATCGGGTAACGAGAACGACGAGGCGGCTTGCAGAAACTCTGCCCAGGCAGAGCAGAGGCAAAGTTCTGGTCCATATCTTGAGCCATGGCTCTGAAGGCATCGGGAGGAGAAAACTGAAGAGACTCGCACGTCCTCTAGGGGACGAGGGCTACGATCTCTAACTGTAGAAGTACTACGATCCCCATCGTAGTTATCGTCCAAATCGTACTCCTGACCACCACGAAGGCGATGAACGCCCTCGTGTCGTTTACTGTCTCTCGACGAGGCACTCGACCTGTCGTCCCGACTTAACGGGAACGACTTCTGTGTCCACTGTCGTCCCGCACGGCGTCCCTATCGTCGTTGGTAGAACGCGATATGGACCGACTGGGGACCGTAGTCCCCTCATGGTACTCGTCACCACCCGGTCCCGTCGTAACTGGGGAGGCTGAGTGACGCTCTCGATCAACCGATTGACGAAGATCAGTTGTGCTGGTAGTATCATCAGCAGGCGAACGGTCACGTGTCTTGTCGAAAACAGAAGCTGATTGAGGCGGGTCTTTATCAACTGATTTCTTGGGTGTGGCCGACTCGCCACCCCCAGGGCTGGATGTGGAGGGTGCAGAGTCCAAGGATCCGCCTGATGACCTTCTCTGCTTGTAGCGCTGGTCAGCAGCCCACATTCTGCTCACATTCTTTACAACGTTTATCCCACGGACACGTTGAAAACCCGTCCTTAATGATGCAGGGTCTACTTTAGACAGTTTTCTTTGACACGAGGCACAAATGCCCGAAATGTGGCCACGTGTATAATCAAGTCAAACAGTGAAACATGTGTTGAACACAAACAATGGATTGCCAAGGATTACATTCCAGGAGTCTACAGGTAAGACATATTTATTATTATTATTACTTTATTAGAACAACAACTGTAGACAAGCGATAAGTACTTGTAGAATAAAAATTAGCAGTCTACCGCGAAAGACTTTCTCGAGCGACCAGCTCAGAGGCGCGCTGAGAGATTTGTGACATGTCATAGGGAGGTGCGTGCGCAACCAGAAACAAGTTTAATGTTTACATTCCAGCTTCTGGCTTCCTTTTAACGTGCGACTAGACGTGAGGGTATGAGAGATACCCATTTGTACGACTGAAAACAGACTTAAACATTAGATTATGTATACATGATACGATCCCTGTTTATATGTGTGGTAATTAATGATGGTATTAATATTTTAGTTAAGGGGTGCTAATTTAGAGCATTCCTAATTATCGATCATGAATATGAGATTTGCCCCTGCCTCTGTGATACACGAGATACATTTTGATGACATTGTTAAACTTTGAACGAAATGATCAGCAGATGACCGGTTAAAATATTAATTGAATACACAAATAGCTCAGGGGCATCACTCTGATTTCGTCATGTTTACAGTGAACCCAAAGTCGCATATGATGAATCTTTTCATAAAATTTGATGTTCCTATACGTAGAATATAATTTTAATGATATTTAATCGAATCTAGTGAGTCAGAATTTTTTTTATAGCTATGTCGATCTGTTTTTAGGTGAAATATAAATAGCTGTCGAACATTGCCTAACCCATCCCGTGTCATTCGCGATTTAACAGGTTGATTTCAGAATAATACTCACTGTGAATGGTATGCACATAGCTCTCACTGTGTCTTTTTCCCGAAATGGTGCTGTTTCTTTCGGCGTATTTCTCCATGAAGGAGAACGTCAGCTTTGGAAGATGCCGTAAATCGTTCATGTCCGATTGCGAGCGCGCCATATTCTGAACTATTTACTTCCGCGTACCCGCCGGGTCAGCCTCGTTTTCGATTCCCTCATGAATTCCCTCATGAATATTTACGAGGGAATATTAAGAATCCTGTATGACGATCGTTGAATCGCATCAGCGTTTTGACATAAAAAATTCCCTCTGTAGTAGGGGTATAGGTACATAAATCTGGCTCCAGTGGAAGTGAGCCAGAACCCCCATTACCTATACTACTCCTGTTGAAAATGTATTAACTCCACATCTTGTCATTTTGTTAAATGCAGTGTTGTCCAGTGGACATTACCCAAAATTCTGGTTAACAGGAATATTTATGCCACTGCATAAACAAGGTAGTAAAGGTGATCCTAATAACTTTCGTGGTATATCACTTCTCAATATAACGGGTAAAATGTTTTCTCATGTTTTGAATAAAAGACTGGAATGTTTCTTAGACTACCAAGGCATAATTAGTGAACATCAAGGGGGCTTTAAGAAAGATCATCTACTATTGATAACATTTTCATTTTGCAAGCTATTATACAAAAGTATATTACTCGCAAAAAAGTATATTGTGCTTTTATTGATTTTCGAAAAGCATTTGATATGGTTAATAGGAGTAAGTTAATGCATATTTTATTGCAAAATGGTATTCACGGCAGGTTTTTATGTATCATCCAAAGTAAGTATAATCATGTTAAAGCAACTGTAACATATGATTATTTTTATCTCAGAGGAAATGTTAAATATAATTGCCCTATTGTTTGCCGACGATTTAATAGTTGTTGCAGACAGTGTATTAAAATTACAAAAACGTCTTGATGAATTATATTTATACTCTTATAAATGGGCTATGGTTATTGATACTGAGAAGAGTAAAATTATTGAGTTTGAAATGGGAAGACCATTGTCAAAAAATGAGAAACTGTAATATAACAGTGAGCTTGTGAAAACAGTTAATGCCTTTAAATATTTGGGACTTATTTTCACTCCCAAATTTCATTTGGACTTGTAAAACTTTATGTGAGCAAAGCACTTTGGTCAGTTAAATCGTTAATAAGAGGTTATGATATTTTGGTTACGGAAACATTTTTATATTTGATAAAAAAGAATTTCCGATATTAATGGTGCTGAGATGGAATACAATTGAAATTGTTCACCGCAGTTTTTCACTTCACACAGGCTACAGAACTGCAAAAGCAGTAGCCTATGGTGGATGTGGCAGGTATCCACTTCATACTATTTATCATGTAAAATGCATTACATATTGGCTTAACATAATGCAAATGAGTCCAAACAGATACCCATAGCAGTGTAATAAAATGTCATTATCCATTGCTGATAGCAAACGTCCTAACTGGGAATCGCATATTAGACATTTGCTAAGTCATCATGGTTTTGGTTTCATGGATGTGTGGGCTGCACAATGCGTTGGCAATGCAGAATTATATACACATATGTTCAGCGAAAGAGTTAAAGATTGTTTGCTTCAGGATTGGCATCATGGCATGCATCTCTAGGCAGCAAGACCCTCTCATTCTATAAACTGGATACATCTTTCATCGTTTGCGAAAAATATTTATCAAATATTAAGCATTGTGAATATAGAAGGCTATTAACCAAATTTAGATGTGGGCAAAATACTCTTGGTATTCAACTTGTTTGTAGGGGTGTTGCTAATATAAAGGATGACGCCGTCTTATGTAAACACTGTCATGTAATGGAGGATGAACTTCATGTTATATACAATTGTCCTCTTTGTGCAGGTCGGAGGGAAATGTATATCCCAAAGACAGTTAATCATCATTATTTTTGTTTAGAAAGACTGTCAATTATCCAACAATGATACAATGATAAATTTTGCAAAATTTCTAATGTACGTGTTCTCAACACAAAAAAGTATCAATTAGGTAACTCTTAGCTAAATATGATGTATATATATTTTGTACAATGGGTCAATTGGCCTTTGTACAAAAAAATCTGTCTGTCTGTCAGTCTGTCTGTCATATATGTTGTAATAAAATAATGAAAAAGAAAATATTTATATTGTCATGTTATATTGTTAGCTGAATATGTTTACTAATCATGCAACCTCTAAGGCATTCCCAACTACAGTTACAAGCTGTATGACTGAATTGAAAATACAAAGTGTAGACTGGAATGGAAGTCGCCAGTTTTAAACTAGTGCCACAAAGCTCAAGCAAAGCTGCTTTCCTAGTGGCTCATGTCTACTTACTGCTAGTCATATCATTGGTCTGTCAAAGTTCGCAAAAGGTCATTCTGATGTGACCTGAATTAGGATGTCCTCAGCGGTAGCAAGAACTTATATCTGATTTTAATGGGATTGAGGTAATGAGGTAAACATGTGATTAATCCAGTATATCAAGCATTAATTGTTTATTGTTAAGCAAGTTTATCTCTGCAGCTGTTGTAGCAAGGAGTCGTTGATCGCTGTGTTGGATTAACGGTTATGTTCAATAAGTGATTTCAGTAATTCATTGCAAATAAGGTGTGTTGGACTAGGTGTGCGAGACTGTCAGATTAACAGGTCTAAACAGCACTGAATTTTTCAGTTGCCATTATTAGTGTCGGATAAAGCTGATTGTCGGATTAACGAGACTTGACTGTATTGAACTCAATCCATGCCGCTTCATATCCTCGCTAGCACCTAAGTATTCATGCATAGTAGAATGGAGATAAACATACTGTGTTTTCAAAGTAAAGTTTGGTCACTTGGAGATTAACCTCACTAAATTTAAATTTTTGAAACTTATCATATGCAATCTCCTAAATGAACTGAAACAAAGCGAAAGTCAATCTCTGAAGTGAACTGAAACAAAGTGAAAGTCAATCTCCGAAATGAACTCACACAAAGTGAAAATCAATCTCCAAAGTGAAAGTCAATCCTTAAATGAAAACACTTGTGTCATTTCATATGACATATGATAAAACAAAACAACCAAATTCTGGTCTCCCAAGAGACAAAGTCATAAACATAGTTTCCTAATCTGGAAATGCTAAACACTGATGAATGGACTACATACCAGGAGAGATCGTGAGGATGTGTCCAGCTTTCAGGACATCTACACAACTCTGGACTGTTCCTGGGGTCACATGGAAAACCTCCATCAACAGTCGCCAGCCTGTATCAAACATATCTAAATTAAAGAAAACATTACAGAAACAATATAGTCTGAGAATGTCTTCATGAAAGTGTTTATATCCATTCTGACTCGCCAAAACACACAATGATGAAGACGTCATATTCCTGAGATGGGAAGAATGTAGTATTATACAATTATGTACATATTATCAAGTGTATTTTAATGAAGCTTCTATTTGAATCCCCAAGTCCAAGTCCTCAAAATAGCCTGTTTCACTATTACATTTGCACAGACTTCTCTATTGTTTCCAGGAACAAGTTGTACCAGGTTGGACAAAATTGACGTTTGTCACAGGTTAGTGTGTGAATTGTATATTCTTGTTCTTATATAGGCTTAAAATTTTTTAAAAAGAATTGGTTCTTAGGCAATGGTTTTTGAAAATATAGTGCAGGCGGACGAGTGGTGTCTTTTTTCCTTCTTATTTTTTGTTTTTGTTCAAACTAGTATGTAACCACATAAACAGTTGGGTAACCAAATAAACAGTTGTGTACAATCAACCTGGGAAAGGGCCTCCCTACATAAATGTATTCCTTGATGAGTAAAATACTTGAATACAGTATTTGACTACCATTGGAATTGGGATATTAAAGGATTTCTTTAAGGTTTTTAAACAAGAGTCATCAGAAAGATGACATATCCCCCCGGCAGCTGTCTGTAAAGTAACCACAAGTAAATGTGCAATTCTGTATGTAATGAGTCAAGAGTTGAATGTTCTTGAAGAAGCATACATTGTTTATCCACAAAAGATCCACCATGGTCGCATCAAATTGAAATGGAAAGTAAAACAAGTGTGTTTCTGTGGGTTTTTTTTATGCAAACTAGATGATGCTTGTGCAAAGTTTTGTGGAGAACTATCACACAGTTTCTCAGTTCTGTTCAAGAAATGAACCCCATCCCGAATTGAACCTAAGTCGAATTTGCTTCAGTCTCCACTGAAAACAGAAAAAAAAATTAAATCCAGAAATAGCAAAAGGCACCAGTTCAGTATGTAGTTTAAACCTATGAAAAGTAACATGGAGAAATATTCAACAGTTTTTGAGTTCTGCTTCGGAAACTAACATCACTCACATAGTGAGCCTATGTCCATCATGTTTACATGAAAATTCACAGAACCTAAGTCCATCTTGTTGCCATGGAAACATAAAAAATACAAATTTCTAAAATTTCTAAATAGCAAAAGGCACCAGTTCAGCATGTATCTGACAGACCTGCAAAGTTTCATGAAAAAATATTGAACGGTTTATGAGTTATGCTCTGGAAACGAACCCTACCCTCACAGAACCTAAGTCCATCTTGTTGCCATGGAAACGTAAAAAATAAAAGTTTCTAAAATTTCTAAATAGCAAAAGTCACCAGTTCAGCATGTACCCATCTTCCCGAGGCAAGAGCGTTAACTGACTTTAAAAGTCCAGTTTCCACCCTTGCCGAACTAGGCTAGAATTCCTGTGCTCGATCGTAGCGCCACCAGTAGCTATTACGAGTTATGTCCATTCTATGCCTCTCCCATATGGACCAATCAGATTCCACCTCTCGTATCACAGGCATTTGCTTCAAACAAAATGGTGGCGCCCAGTCAAGACGATCTGATCGACCATCAAGATCTATTTTGTGATAAAACGGTTCTTGCTTCACGAAGTACATCTAATCACGTGAGCACCTTGATTAAAAACATGAAAAGATTTGGAAAATATCTGTTGACAACGAGTTTGCGATGCACATGCTTTGCCAATCCTGCCATCGACCGAACTCTGCATGACAGTTTACGAACCGGATTTTGATTTCAGTTCGCGATTTTGATTGGACTATGCATAGACTCGTTAGTCCAGCCAAAATGTAACTCCATAATCCCAGCCTAGTTCGGCAAGGGTGGAAACTGGACTTTTATAGTCAGTTAACTCCCTTGCCTCGGGAAGATGGCATGTACCTGACAGACCTGCAAAGTTTCATGAAAAAATATTGAACGGTTTATGAGTTATTCTCCAGAAACGAACCCTACCCTCACAGAACCTAAGTCCATCTTGTTGCCATGGAAACGTAAAAAATATAATTTCTTAATAGCAAAAGGCACCAGCTCAGCATGTACCTGACAGACCTGCAAAGTTTCATGAAAAAATATTGAATGGTTTATGAGTTATTCTCCAGAAACGAACCCTACCCTCACAGAACCTAAGTCCATCTTGTTGCCATGGAAACGTAAAAAATATAAATTTCTAAATAGCAAAAGGCACCAGCTCAGCATGTACCTGACAGACCTGCAAAGTTTCATGAAAAAATATTGAACGGTTTATGAGTTATTCTCCAGAAACGAACCCTACCCTCACAGAACCTAAGTCCATCTTGTTGCCATGGAAACATAAAAAATATAAATTTCGAAAACTTTTAAACAGCAAAACGCACCAGTTCAGCATGTACCTGACAGACCTGCAAAGTATCATGAAAAAATATTGAATGGTTTATGAGTTATGCTTTGGAAACGAACCCTACCCTCACAGAACCTAAGTCCATCTTGTTGCCATGGAAATGTAAAAAATAAAAGTTTTCTAAAATTTCTAAATAACAAAACTTCACTACTTAAGTAATATAAAAGCAAAGTTTGATGAAGAAATATTTTATGGTTTTCGAGTTCTGCTCTGGAAACGATTCAGACAGACAGACAGACGGACGGACGGACGGACGGACATGCCCTTGGCTATATACCCCTGCATTATATGCCGGGGTGATAAAAATGGAAATAAAAACAAAACTGCAGCGCCTGAGAACCCAATCTCATTAAAATCAGATCTTAGTTCTCGCTACCGCTAAACCTAAGATCTGATTTTAATGAGATTGCTGAGAACCATAACTATTATTTTTTATAGTCTTAGTGTTTGTTTTATGAGGGTTTACACAGGTGCATATGTATTATTTCTTAGCTTCTTTTAATTGTATTGTTATTCACATAAATGTGGTATAACAAGGTTTGCTTATATATACTTTACACATGTACGTAAGTTTGTGAAGATAGGTGAAATGGGTCGAACAGCTCGTCCAAGATTATTACACTTAGTAGTGTGTATGCATGCGTGTGTGCATGCCAGCCCATTGAGATACCATGCCGCAGTTTAACATGAATACCCCACTCAGACACAGTATACTGACTCCGAGCCGACCAGTCCTTGTTTTAGCCCCTCAGGCCAGTCAGGGTAACACAGGTGAAATCCTCCATCAAATGTAAAAATCTGCCACTGAGGGTATTCCCTGAGTTTTACTGAAATAAAACGGGTGTCAAGATCACAAGGGTTTTTACATATGTTAAAGTCACTTTTTTTAGTGTGAGACGAGCTTGGTATATGGTCTTGTTATGTTGTAAGCAGAGTAATGAGTGGATTGACTGGATGATGTAAGCGGGCAGAGAGTGAGACTTGGGAGCAAGCAGTAGCAGCTTGGGGGATTCTATTTGTCACATACAAAAGACTGGAAAATGGACTAGTCAGTACAGCAGATACACGACTTTGTTCCCTGGGGTATGGAACTTTAGTGTGGGGGTTGGTTGGACTGTGACTTCACTGTCATCATCATGAGTATTTATGTATACAGTATTACTTATGTCTATGTCAGGTTGTCAAAGTACATGCTATGTGTTTGGTATTATTGAGTAATATCATGCATGTTATAGAGTTGTCATAAAGACAATAGAACATTCAGTCTGAAATTGCTTATTTTTAACATTGGTAAGGGGGATGTACAGTGTAACAGTCAGTGTATTGTATGATACAACATGTTTGATAATGCTCCATGGTTAGCAAGTCTAACTAGTGTGTGTTTGCAGATATTATGGTATGCAATGGCTTGTATTCCAGATATTGTTTTATCCATATTTGTAGTGAATAGATCATTGGCACTTTCATAGACAGTGTGTTAATGTTATGAATGATGTTTTGTCATCAAGTGTGTGGGACAGGAGTGTGACGGGAGTCTGTGGGACATGAAGGACAGTGGAGCGGCTATCAGGAAGCTCTTGCCGTGTGGGGGTATGCCAGTCTGGTTGCCCTGTCAGCCACACAAGTTACGGTCCCAGTGTCACATCTCGGTATGAACAGACTGTGAAACTGACATGTGATGATGTATAGCTGTGTATATTGGACGTATTGCATAGTGTTGGTTTGTTGTTTAACGCCGCACTCAGCACTATTCCAGCTATATGACGGCGGTCTATAAATGATCGAGTCTAGACCATACAATCAAGTCATTAATATCATGAGCATCGATCCACACAATTGGGATCGATGACATGCATCAACCAAGTCAGCGAGTCTGACCACCCGATCCCGTTAGTCGCCTTTTACGACAAGCATAGTCACCTTTTACGGTAAACATGGGTTGCTGAAGACCTATTCTACCCCGGAATCTTCACGGGTCTATTGCATAATGACAAGTTGTAGGTATGTTTGTTATGATGTATTGTACTTTATAGGGGTGTCTCAATAGGGCAGACTTAGTGGGCTTTGTATTATAGTTAGGGCTGAATGTGTATTGCTTTTGATTACAATTTGGGTGAGTGATTGCTATGAGACTGAATGCATGTGTTTGTGTAAGGGTCTTCCTACTTGTCCAGCACCTATTGTTGTAGCTGGGTATGGGTACAACCATAGGGGATTATGATCTCATATATGACATAACTGGTGAATATCTCGCAAATATAACAATAATATTTGTATTGCTCAACTATATTCACATACACTGTACTTCTGAAAACTTCTGAAATATAAGAGTGAGTGAACATATTGATCATTTAGTTTGATTTGGGCTATAAAAGGAATTACAGGCAAGAAACAGTATTCCACTGTGGCAGATGCACAGGTTGATTTACAGATATTCCCAATTCTTAAAGGGATCGGCACGTGGCAAGTCCATAAGTTAGACCAGACGACAAACTTCCATTCATTGCAAATGAGAATGCCAAATCACCATTAATAGCAAAGATGCCTTTGTGATGAAGC